TCGGCGCACCCAGCCGTTGTACGAGAGCAAATGGGACTTGAATCAAGAACAATTCTCAAGTACACAATGTTGAGTACGGCGCTGGGCTTGAATCAAGAACGCATTTTTCTGGGTGTATGTATCTTTTCATAGGTGTGTTATTTGATTCATAAGCTAACATCAATAACTTAGAAGGGATTTGGCATAACTTGCATGTATTCTACAAACTGCGGCACACACAGCCAAAGATGTTCAGCATATGAAAAGAATACTTCGTTTGTTGAGTTTTGATTACGAAGGAGACAGAAAACGTACCTGGCAAAAAGATGGTCCAAAGCAAGCCATCACTCCAACTGGCCGAAGGCCCGTTTTCGGATAGAAGATGTATTACACCATGAAAATTCAGAAGGGAAAATAAATAAAACGATAATGTTTTATGCCCGAAGACGATCGAAATCGAAATGGCAGAGTTATTTCCTCTCAAATTGACAATTTGTTGGTTTTTGGCCCTTTTGTCAGTTTGGGGACCAATAACTTTGCCGTTTCGACTCTGATCGGCTCTGAGCATAAGACATTTCCGTTTTAATTTTGCAAGAGGAATCCACATCTGGGATTACACTTTTAATTTGACAACTTTTAATTCATATTTTTCATTGGAACACAAAATAATGGTGTTCACTCGTAGAATGTCTAGAAGTAATTTAATCTTACAAAAAGACATCTTAAAAGGTTTATTAAACTCTTAACTTATTTTCTTAATAGCAATACACTTGCAAGGGACCGAACAATATTAGAGCCACAGTCGCAACTTAGTGTAGGGTAAGCCGGTCAAAATCAGAACGAGATGTATGATTCTCTTACATTGACTAGATTTGTCTAAAGCCATTTGGTAACACTATGCGGACGGGTGTTACAACCAGCACCAAATGGGTTTTGTGAACTACGAACAGGGTGATCAGTACTATCCAAGGCACAGTCACTGCAACAGAAAAGATAGTTCTCACAACCGAGCAGCGTACGGGTGTAATAAACTATAGCATAATCACCATAACCATGTTAAACTGGGTTGGCTCAGCTGTAAACCTAGTTACCACAACCAGTCTCACACACGTACCCTTCACCATGTACTCGGTGACCACAACCAACTCTCTTCGGTCCCTATGACCAGCACACTTCAACCCAAAAAGTAAGTTCCAGCAACCAAGTTCCTAGTAAGTCGAAAACCAACCCCTCGACTCGGTTGTGGGAACCGAGTTAAGGGTTGACCCAAACGACCTGTTTTTAGCCCGCCCTTCTGCTTTGAAAAAGCTATCCAGCGGGCTTATGCAAACGACCTCGTGT